ACCACCCCAGTGCTATTAAGAGCATCAAAAGATGCAATGTCTCCAGCCTAGAACAAGGGAGACATTTCAAACCAGCATGTTTCTACTGCCCCAAAAACACAAAATACTGCTGCTCTACCCTTGCATGAAAATCAGAGAGGAATAATGATGGTGACAACCTTCGATCCTCCTGGATCACGGCGTATGCACGAGAGCCACCCAGACCGTCGATGCATCCGCCTGGGCAGGAATTTTTGGAGGCATGGAGGCTGGAATAATGATGACAAATGGGTTTAGAGAAAACCTGAATTTTCCTCCATACCACTTGGCTCTTTTTGGAACCAAACTGGCAGCGGTGAAGATACCAAAGGTGTTTCTGCCTGTTTGGGACCAAGAACTTAAGTACTAAAAACCCTCAGAAAAGAGGCTGTTCTGGCGAGTCCATTTTGGCAGGCTTGGCCAATCTAGGAATAAGCACCCAGCACAAGGCAAGACTCATCTCAGTCGTTCCGGCGTCGGGAACGATAACTAATCTATAACTTGCAAAGCTTTTAATGCATCAAACTTTGTAATGCTCGAGGCAAGGGCAGGCTTTTGCTGCTGTTTTGCTGATGGGGAACTGAGCCCAGAGGGGTCTGTTGAGTGGTCGTGTGAGTGCCTGGCTAATGCCCCGACTGCCAGGCCAGGCTTCCTAGGTGCCGAAGCTTCACTTCCAGTGTCTAGTTCACAAAATTAGCAATATGCTACTAACACCCATGTTGTTTCCCCTGCCACGTTGAATGACAAAGCCCCGGAGAAGAAGTTCAAGTGCCGGCACGCTTTCCAGGCCGTCCACACTTGTCACTGTTTAATTTCCATTATTCAGTGGATTCAGAAATAAAAGGACGCAGCTCCTTAATGGCCCCAGGATGTGACCTTCTAAACAAATCGTTGTCATGTAGCGATGCGTGAGGCTTCAATGGACAGGAATACTTCCCAATATGGAGCAGGAAAGGCGGTAAATGGAGCGAGCTGTTCAGACAGTGGAGCGGGCACGTCACCGGTCCAGAGCGCGGCCAGGGGAAACGGCACGGACCACGGCCTGCCCTAGCCATGTGGTAGGACAGCAAAGCCTGGCCTGATGCCTGATCTTCTGCCACGCTGGTAACTGCTAAGAGCCTAAAGACCTGTTCAGCATAAGATGGAGCAGGTGGCACATGGAGAGACTCGGCACAGCACATCCCTGATCCAAACCGGGAGTCGACTTGCTACGTGACAGCCTCGAGTTGGATTGGCGGGTCTTGCAGATGTCTCTGCTGCCACTCATACTATGAGTTGGTATAAATGCATGATGATTACCCGTTTTGAAAATGAAAACTTCATCATTTTACCAGAAGGAAGCAAAATTCAACACCTTGAGACCTGGAAGCTAACTCCCCTGCTCCAGCCTTTTGTTTCAAGCCAGATTTGCATACCTGCAAAACAACCTCAACACAAGAGAAATTCCTGGCCCAGGAGAACCTTTCATCACCAATCCTCCTGTGAAATATGTAACGTCGTAAGAAGAAAGACGCATAATTCAACATCCCGCTTGCCATCAGACACCTTTGAGGTAAATAGACTGCTCCAACTTTTATCTGAGCCTAATTTGCAGAAAATAAAAAAAATGAACTGTTCCAGCCAGGAGATCTTACTCTATACTCCAACTCTCCTGTGAAATATGAATTTTCATTTCTACGTGGGAGAAATTTTACAATCTTTGCATTCTCCAATGCCTTTGCATATAATCTTTGCATGCTCCTATGCCTGAGGAAGGGCGCGTGCACCTGAAAGCTTGCAAATAAAGAGAACATTTTTTTGCAACTGTCTAGTTGGTCTAATAAAAGATTACCACCTCTAGCACAGAATGCTTGTTTTCTCAAAGCAACACGACTACAACCTTTATCCCTGATTATGATGGAGCACTTCCTCCTGCACTCGGTTGCAACCATGTCTTTACAGGCAGCTTTCCTTCTCCGAAGACGACCCAGGGATATACCCCAGGATCCGCAGAGCACATGCTAAGGCTAGCAGTGCCGCTAGCCACATCTGCCGATGACAATGCTTAATTGTAGTCATCATTTAACATGGGATTTCCTGGGGCACTTCTGCTTCTCTCTTCTGTGGTTTGCTTGCCTTATTAAACAAAAGGCAGCCGCCTACAGCTACTAACTGATCTAACGCTGAACACCTGGCAAAAACTGACCAAATAAAAGATGAAAGAGGCATTGTTCTGGAAACAAAGTATTTGACCAAATGAAGCTGTGGATCAAACTAAGCAGTGCTTCAACTATTGTGTAGTTTAAAATGCTGCCAATAGTGATTCCTGTACCTACCTATTAGTCAATTCACTGCTTCTCAAGGGCGCAACCCTGAATTTCAGGGGCACACGAGTCTTGATTTCCTGTTCCTAGCTTTGGCCAATGCCTCTAATGAAATCTGGTACACAGGGTACGTTTTGCATGTGCTAACTGGGTAAGTCTATACCTTGCTGAATGCTGCAACTCTATATAAATGCCAAACAACGCCTTTTGTCCACGAGTGGCATTGCATTCACAAGGTTTGCAAGGTTCCCTCTGGTGGCCAATCTGAACACCCACAACTTGCATTTCACGTCTAAGGCATAAGCATAGAGAGGACTATGCACTGCCAGTAAAACACTCTCATTAGTGCCCATTCTCAACCCAAGTGGAAAAGCCCTAGATACAGTTTGCAGAAATTAGTCACTCATTTTGTTTTGTCAGATAGCAAGACACAATCAAATGAAAAATGTAAGATTGGGATGAGATCCTCTTTCCCCCCCAGTGGTGTTGGCAGACAAAAAAAAAATAGATTAAAAAACGGGTAGAAGCCTGTTTTATGCAACATCTAATTTCAAAACTACCGATCAAATTAATGCTTGTTTGAGGAGAAAATTGACTTGCTTCATAGGAGGTTCAATAGTGCATCAGTGAATCACCGTTTTCATGAAGATGCTGAATAGTATGTTTTCCCCATCACATTCAACGATGATATCAAGCTCTGCTTTATTAGAAACAGAATGAAAAAATATTGCAGTGGCTCTTTTTGTTTGATAGAGTTATGTTTTATAGGTTCCTGCTTTCTAGTAATCCGTAGCCTGTGTTTGTATTTCCTTCAATAGCAGTATGTCTACCCAGTTAATATTTATTTTCATTCAATAATTATTTTTAAACATTTACTCAATGCAACCCATTTTACTATACTTAACATCCATTTACAGAGCAATAGAGTTGCATGGAGACTTTTCAGGAGGAAACTCCAAAAGCATGGCAATCATCTTCTCTGGGACTCGAGGGACCCAGACCAGGCTCTGAAACGCATGCTAAAAATGAAGCACCCTATGCATTTTAAGGATGGACATGGCAGGGCATAATACTCAGCTGGTGTGCACAACCTCCTTTTATTGGTGCTGGGTCTAGCTGCATCCAAGAGCCTCAAAACACAATCATCAAGCCCTTTGGTGTAAGTGCAACACACTCGGTACTTCAACCAGAGAACAGGGCAAATTTGGGAGGGTGAAGTAAGCATCTTCAAACCTGAACAGATGGAAGAGCTTGCAACCAACTCTTGCGAAACAAAATCACCCAAGTTAGAAAGGACTTGCTTAGGAGAGCATGTAGGTTTTAACTTGGTAAATGCACACAAGGACTGAAAGCTACAGTCATTTATTTTCTTTTAATAAGTCAAAAGTGGGTTTGGGGGTTTCTTTCCCCTGTTATCACTTTGATCTTCAATACTTTGATCTTTTAATAGATAAAAAAAAATCCAATTCAATGGGGGGAAAAATGATACCCCATCACTAATAATAATAAAAAAAAGGATGCATCTCAGGAAACAAACCAATTAGCAAGAGATGAAGACACAGTTATCATCATGGCTCTGGTGTAACACTAACGATATTTTCCTTCCTATATATTCATTTGAGAAATGTAGATGTTTGCAAAGCCCCAGGATCCCTTTCCCATAGGAGCCCACATGCACAAAAGGAACTATTAAAGCAGAAAACACCAGGATGAGGCATATAAACTAAGACTGATTCAGTCACTTTTTCTGGCTACATCTAAAAACTGACATTATTTGACTCCTAGGAACGAGACCATGTCATCCACCACAAACAGCTCTCAGTACGCTGCGTGATTTGGAAATCCACTCATCATGCTGTTTTAATCTAATCTGGTTTAATACATAAAGCAAGTCAGATGATGTGATGCCCAGTACTAACCAAACCATAAGATTTGAGTATCTGTAAATCTGTTGCTAACTGAATTTTCTTATTGGTGGAAAAAGTATCAGTCCCTTCCCCCAGATCACGAGTTATAGAAATGATCCTGTACTCCTGTACCTGTGTTCACACCAGTGAACTAAACACCAATATCTTCAAGGGCCACGGGAAAACACATTATCTGCTTCTAAAATTTAGGAGTAGTCTATTAAAACCTGAAATATTAATTGGTGTTACAGGTTGACCCAGTCGTCCCCGAAACATACTTCGGTCCTAACTTTCAGAATATACGTGTTTTCCCCAACTGAAACTTCATCTCCATGATCACAACTCAGGTTTTGTACGTAGCTCAATGGTAGTCTTGAAGAATAACCACCTCCACAGAGCTAAGAAGGGCTTTTGTTATTTGAATTACAGCACATTAGCAGGCAAAAGAAAAGAATGGCTGTACCTCTGACACCAAAAGCGTGGGAGGTATGCATGATAGCAAATGTAATAAACTCCACAGTCCTACTGCTTATTAGACTACACCAAATGATGCACAAGCTCAGCCTGGCTTTAAATGGAAAAGTGTGTTGTGTGAAGAGATTTCTTTTTACACTTGCACCAATATGACTGCTGTAGACTGCAATCCATTACTTAGAGCATTTTATTTTACAAACTAAGGAAGGCTGGTTCACTTTTGCGAAGAAGACCATTATGCTGAGAAGTTTCTGGCTAATGCTGCTGTTAAAGCAAAGAGAAAGCTTGACAATTTCTTCTTTCAACAGAACTGGTTTTATTTGGTAACAAAAGAGTGCATCTAAAACCAGATAAAGAGAAGTATCAAACAGCAGAATTTACCTGGTACATACAAACAAAGGAGCTGCTGAGACTTAAATGTACAGATTCACAGCTCAAACAGAAAAGCAGCAGCAGTTCAGACTTCTGTCCGTTTTGACAACTGTTAAGAAACAAGGTAACTGAAAGAGGCTGTTTCCCAGAAGAATGGCGAACAGAAAAGCACTAGGAGATGCATCTATGGGATGGCATTGCAAGATGAGAAATCAGCTTGCAGCTTTATCGCTTTCTCCATTTTCTATTAGTTTTCTTTTCTTTTCATCAGTTTTCCTCTTGAAAATGCTATCTCTGTAGAACTGAAGTTCTTTGATGCTTTCCCTGATGTCATCAAGGGCTCTGGAAGAAAATTAAACAGGGTTTCAAAATGCACGCGCACACACACGCACACACGCACGCAGGGCTAAATCTGGCTTCTAATGCATTTCTCAAATTCCAGACTGTAAGAAATGAAACGCTGAAATATATGGAGCACAAATCTATCAGTAATAAAGCAGTCTTCACTAGATGCGGATCGCAGGAAGCAATAAAGGTTCAGCA